CTTCAGCACCCACTGAGCCCACCTGTGGTGTATACTGCAAATATGATGAGCTGAACTTAATTCAGGAGTTTCAAAATCCAGGACAGAAAATGGCCATTACATATTGAGCGATGTGCAGTGGGCCAGAAGCAGACCAGTCACCAAAGTATTACTAATGGGGTACTGCCATTGCTTAACTTTGGTAATCAAACAAGAGCCACTGTCTCAACATGACATGGCTGCAAGTCATTTTTTATTTAGTGTGTGCAATCTTTTCATTCCTGAAAACCAGTCAGCTTATTTTCAAAAATGTTTTTTTTTTTTTATATTGCCATTTATTGACTCTGGTTTCTTTCTTTCTTTTGTATTTGCTTATTTCTCTTAGTTTCTTTTTAATATGTCTCTTATTAGCATTAACTTAGTATCTAATAAAAACATGGAAAAAAAAAAAATCAATGCCACATCAAAATGCTACACTTCTCTAGAAGGGTTCTGACACAATATTCAGAATCTATCCCATGACATAAGTTTAAAAAGTAGTACTTATCTACCTCTCCAAACTTACTTATATCCTTCTTAGTGTTTATTTAAATGCAGTAGTTTTATTACTTTTATGTTTTAGTCAATGTACTTCATATTCTGCATCTTTTGTTCAAATATTTTTCACAAATTTCTTTTTGTGACATTCTTAAAGACAACTTTATCTGGTTTCTGTAAAAATATCTTTTTTTTTTTATTGCTTATTTATTAAACAAAAATGATGGTAGAATTAATTTGGTTCTAATTAAGATTCATTAATTGTAAATAATGAAAGAGGTTAGATTTCTTTTTATACTTCTGAGATAAGGTATTGTAACTATTTACATTGTTGTCCTCATCTTTATCGTCATATTCATGATATCCCCAAGGACACATGGACCAGTGGATAAAAGCATTGGTTGAAGTAATCCAGAGACTTGAACCAAAGAGTTGTGAGTTCAATAGGTGAACAACAACTTGGGGAGTTGAATTACTACAGGGAAATAACTGAAACTGAGGCATGGCACGTGGAACTAAAAGAAACTTCTCCAGTTGACGAAAAGGGTTTGATTTGAAATTCCAGTGTATATCACCTAAAGTACAATGGCCAAAACATCATGAATATGACAAGATGAGAACAACAATTTGAACAATGTAAATAGTGTAAAGAGGTAAGATTTTACAAGTATATTAGAAGAGAGAATTTACATTAAAACAGACCCACTGTTTTAAATATATAACTCATGATGAGAGTCTCCGAGTGTTAGCTGAAGCCACAATGATTGTTTATATTAGCACAGCTGCAGGTTATGAACAGGCAAAAACAGGAACAGAGGTTAACAATAGGCATTATTTGTTTAGATGGACAATCAGAGGACAGTTAGTCCAAAGGCTTTTGGGAAAAGAAAAATTAATTTTGTCAGTTTTGGGTGGCACAGAGTAAAGATCTAATAAAAGAACCCTGGACTGATCACCACATGTTGGCGCATCACACCCATCGGAATGGAAACAGGAACTTTTTGTTGTCCTTCACAATTTCAAATCCAGTTTATAACTCTGTAATAAATCTATTATTTTATATAGAAATATGTCATTCAGCTTTATCCTTGCCACCACAACATGACTAGTGAAAATGTCAGAGAAATTCAGCAAGGCCAGAGAAGACAGTCCAAACCAACAGAGTCCAACTATGACCATTACTATCAACAACAACTCTTATCAATATGATTAACATCCTCCACATAGGAGGATTCCACATTTGCTGATGCAACCAGGATCTGATCCCGTGTTTATCAAGTCCAAAGGTGAACCACATTTCACCACAGTTTATATTATCACATCTGGTTGCCCTTGACGAGGACATGTTTGACCATACAGTAAATTAACGAAAACATTCCCACTTTCTGGTCAAATTATTATATTTGCTACCTTAAACCAAGAAAGTTAACAAAAAATATAAAATAAAATAAATCAGATGAAGTCAAGGCCTCATTCAGCACAATTTCGTATTGTCACATTAACTGTTACCGTAGAAGTTATAATAGCATCTAGCCATTTCAATTATAAAAGGAAGAGAACTTGCGGCCAATCTACTACTGCATTTAAATTCATAAAGTCTAAGTACCATAGAGGAAAGTTCATGAGAACAATTATCATAAAAAGTATTTATAGAAAAAGGCACAGGGAAGCCATATTATAGTTGTGAGAAAATGATTGATGCCAAGATTCTAGATCTGGACCAATAACTTTGCAGGTAATTCTTTGGATTTTATCAAAAATCTCTGAATATTGCTGCCACATCTGGGCCAGTGCTCCTGCTATATATTTAAAGTAAAGACGAATGGTAGAATGAACATGCTATATATATATATATATATATATATAAAAAAATAAAAAAAGTAATGAATTCTTTTATTTATTAATCCAACATGTTTTTATTGCTTTAAACATTATTTTTAGTGGATAACCATATTTGAATAGATTCTCCATTTATCCAAAGGTTACATTATTTTTCTCTAATAAAATTTATTGAATCTTCAAGCCGGTAGATGAAATAAAATATGGTTTAAAAATCAAAGAAGGTATTCACTAAAAATAATGTTTAAAGTAAGAAAAATATGTCAGATTAATAAATAAAAAATCCATTACTGCTTTACAAGTGCTTTGTTTACATTTCATATGCAAGGCTGAGCAGTTATGAACTTTCGAAGATCTGGACAGGGAAAAAGTGTACTTAAAAGGCAAAATAGAACCTCACTTAATCATGATGCTATTTGTAGCTAAGATAGTTTATCACATCAGATCTAAAGGAAAACTCAGATTTGTATCCTACAAAACGGTGCATTTTTCCTCTAAGATATGAAATGCTGTTTAAAAAATAAATGGAGTGTCTACTCAAATATGGGTATCATCTAAAAATAACATTTAAAGTAATAAAAATAGATTCTTTTTTTCATGTTCCATATCCCTTCAGGACATGGGCAATCATGGCCCTCCACTCCCTCCTGTCCCTTGTAGCTCTTAATAAGTTGCGTCTTTTCGTTATTTCTCCCAAACCCTGTTCTGACATCCATTTGCTGAAGCCCATCAAGTATGTTATGCACTGCTTTCCTCCATCCCTCTTTCCATCTGTCCTGTGAGGATCAGATTTTCCAAGCCCTCCTTCCTCATCACATGCCCTAGAAATTTCAACTGCCTCCTCCTGATGTTAACTATAAGTTTCGTCTTCATTTCCATTCTCTCCAAAACCTTGTAGTTGCTCGCATGCCCAGTCCATGGTATCCTCAGCATCTTGCTGTAGAAACACATTTCTGTTGTTTAAAGTCTCTTCTTCATCTTTAAGATTGTCCAGTATTCACTGCCACTACATTAAAACAGGACAGATATTATGTAACATTTCAGTCCTCCTTTCTTTGTTTCTAACAAAATTTTTCTGTTTCTTAATACTTTGCTTAGCTTTTGGAATGTATCTTTGGCCATCCTAATATGTCTTTGGATCTCAGTGTCGAACTTTACATCCTCTGTTAAAATACTTATCAGGTATTCAAATTCCTGAACCTGTTTGATTTTAGTTTTTCCAACCTATATAAATGTAAATATATGATCTTAAAGGACAGCTCAAGAGATTTCATGCTCTCGGCATTCTACTCATCTGAAGATCGTTAGAGTGTAAAACTCGAATAACAGCTCAGGTTCTCCTTTGTTAAGTGTTGATGTTGAGTAGTGTTTTTTGATCTGTCTAGATAATCTAGGCATTGAGCAATTTACTACACAGAGTAGATAAGGGTTTTGCCTTTTGGTTCTTATTTCTTTTTCTGGATTTTTTCTTCTATAGTGTTAAGTCTTCTACCAAGTTGTCTATCGGTGACACCAGCATAATTGGTTTTCCTTTCATTGTGTGTGTGTGTGTGTGTGTGTGTGTGTGTGTGTGTGTGTGTGAGATCATAATAAAAATATTTTGAAATTGCGACACAAAAGCTTTCATGTTTCAATACTATGATTGTATTTCTTCAGGCAATGGTAAGTTATGTATTGAAACATGAAAGCTTTTGTGTAGCAATTTCAAAATGTTTTTATTATAATCTCTTATAATAAAAATATAATAATATATGGCTCTACTTTGTATTGAACACTTTTTTAAAAGTAAATGCTACAAACAGTGGATTTTTACTCCATCTGGTCTTTCTCTCATTTAGAGATTATCACTGGAGTGTTTGTCTAAAATTAAATGTCTAAATTCACCTTCAACCCTGCCATGTACCAATGGCTTAGGGGTAAAATCTCCAACTGATAAATCAATCGGGTTTCAATCCTGGCTTGAGGCAATTGGATGTCTAGCCACACTGATGAGATGTGAAACAGCAAAACAGTGTTTGTGGATGATAATATATATATATATATATATATATATATATATATATATATATATATACACACACACAAGTATATGATTGGGGTATACAGAATAAATTCCAATAACCAACAAATACTATTCTTAAAAGAGTGCTCAATACAGAGTAGAGCATATATATATATATATATATATATATATATGTGTGTGTGTGTCATAATATCAACAACCCTCTAGTTTCATAATAAAATCTGACATCACCAAATAAGTTATTGTAAATATATCTAATGAAAAAGGATATTATAAATTTGAAATTTTTTTACCATCATTTGCTTAACACCAATTGCGAAATACTGATTTGTATAAGGCGCATGTGTGCATACTTCGTTTCTCCCCCGTGAAGGTCCTTTGTTGGATGTAGTTCTTCCTCAGATTCAAGGGGTAAAATTGGGTCATTATCCTACCGCACTAACCCAATGCTTATTCGTATGGATAGATGTGACATGCTTGGGCAATCATGTCTCTCTTTTTTGCTTCATGCTCACCCAGGGGTAATTACAGGTAAGTGAATGTAACACACATGACCATAATTTGAATTCTTCTCTCAAAATTCACATTCTGAACCATTACCTATTGCACCACTAGCACTTACAAGATTCCCAAGTAGTCAACCATCTACGTACTGACCAGACTCAACATTGCTTAACTACAGAGATCAGATGAGAACTGATGTTTCAACATATGGCAATAAAAAGTGTGTGCATAATACACACTAATAAAACAAAAAAAAAAAAAGAAAAAAAAAAAGCTGAGTATGTATGCCAGTATTAGTATATACTTAGTTTGTGTTTCTGCAAAAATGTGCACACTCATTTCTTTTATTGCAATTCTACATCTATATACCCGTGTGTGTGTGTGTGTGTGTGTGTGTGTGTACACATACATACCCACAGTAAAGCAGTTTTTAATGGACTGAATTCCCGGGATCTACAGATGGTGATTTGGGTGCGTCCCTGAGAAATTCAATAGGTCTTGACTAAAGTTTCTTAATAAATTTTAGTGTTAACCTGCAGGGGTACAGACTAAGTTTTTTTTTTTTTTTTTTGTGGGGAGGGGGGTACCATCAGCCCCCAAAATAATTTTAATTATGCCAAATCACTTAAATTGACAGAACAACTGTTTTAATTAAATTAATAAATTCAAAATAAAAACAGTATTTACACTTAATCCCAGTTCAATTAAGAAATTATATATTTTGGGGAGAATTATGACAGAAGAAATGATTTAAATTGACATAACAAAATTTTTCTTTCTTTCTCTCTCCATTGAAACAAAAAATTTAAAACAAAAACAGTATTTCAAGCAACAGTTGGCAAACTTTAATGAGTTCAAGTATGTCAACTAAATTACACTCTCAAGGGTGGTTTACCTCAGTGTATATGGCATCATGGGTCTTAGTTCTGAAGGTTAGAAGGGATGGAACTAGAGAATGTAGCTTGTCACTACAATTTCCATGGAAATAGCAACAGAACAACATTTCATCTGTAGGAAAAGGATTGTAGAAGAGGAAATAATTTATCATCCACAAAGCTGCATGGACACTTTTGGAATATAAATATATATATATATATATATATATATATATATATATATATATATATATATATATATATATATTATTAAATTATGAGACAGCCTAATTCTACAAACAGAAGCTGCCTACACTAAAATGCAAAGCTCTTCGGTAAAATGAATATGAGCACTCTGGTTGAGTGGCATTTGTTTACATTTGTAAAAACAATACGCTAGAATTAGCAGTTTCTCTCTGCCAAGTGCTGATGGCTTAGGAGCAGAGAATCTGACTGACAACAAATCAATCGGGTTTCAATCCTGGCATAAATATTCATTTAGATGAGTATTCAAGTTGGTTTATGAGATATATGCCTTACTCTGCACATTCTAAAAAGATATTACATACACAAAAAAATAAATAAATAAAATAAAATAAAATTCTGACAGCTTATTCTATATACAATACAGGGTGTCCCCAAAAATTTGACATTATTCCACAGGCCAATAATTTTGGCAATTCATATTGAAATAACCTCAAATTTTCACAGAATGTATAGAAACAGATCAACATCTTATATTTAATGGAAGAGGGCAGTATGTGCTTATCTCAATGAGAATATGCCAGAGAGATGGATCGGGCGTGGTGGAGATGAAGACAGTTTTTTTGATGAAATGGCTGCTGCGATCACCGGATCTGTCCCCACCTGATTTCTTTTTATGGGGATATGTGAAAGGGACTGGTCTATGTCACCCCTCTTCCTGCTAGCATTGATGAACTCAAACAGAGAATCACTTCTGCACTTGATAATGTTACCAGAGACATGCTACAGCATGTTTGGCAAGAACTTAACTAATGACTTGATGTGTGCCGTATCACAGGTGGTGAACATATTGAACACTTGTGAAATCAGTCCCATAATAAACTTATGATGTTCAACATCTAAACTGTTCAATTTAATTGAGCTAGTAGTTTTCAAGATAATTGCTTTTAAAATGATGTCAATTTTTGGAACACCCTGTATATAGAACAAAAGCACTGGGTTTGAATTTCTGGGATTTACATTTGGACCAATATCCTCATCTTTATTGGGGTTAAACTCTGAAATTTATATTATTTATTATAATTGCCAAACTACAAGCTTGTGCTTAAAGCAAAATATTTAAACATTTTGCTAAGATTGAAAAAAATGACAATACAAAACCAACTTTATTTTACTACATTAAAAAAAAAAAAAAAAATTTACAGCTTAACCATAGTAATTAAGAAAGGACTTTCACTATGCAAATATAAATTGTACAGATTTGAACAAGAATCTACACCTACACTTTCAGATGAAAATTACAAAGTAATTTATATTAGCATGAGAGATTCATCACCCAAATCTCTGATTACGTCTACAGTTACAAAGGTACAGGGATCCCCAAAACATTCCCAGATGTCTAATTGATACCAAAAAGTTACAAGCACTTTTTGGAATATCCACATATGAAAGCTTTTGCATGATAATTTCCTATCATATAAGGAAACGGATAAACACTACATCAACTTTCAGATATGCTCCGAATGAGACATATCTTGTTACCATTTTTTAATTCCTAATTGAAGAATTGCTGAACCTAAAGGAAGATTTCTTTACATGGGCAAAACATTCTCCAATAAGAATTAATGTCATTCATACAAGTGCATCCAAAAGCAAAAACTCTACTCCACAAAATCTAAAACATTTAAATAAATTAAAAGTAAAAGGAAAATTCAAGCAAATAAATTAAGTAATTCTTCATGTATCTGAGTTGCAAATTTTATAATTTAGAACAAGCAACATGAAATCAATAAAGAAATTTTAATATTTGATGGAGTTTATTTTTACTTTAGACCAATTTTTGAGTTTCTTTCCAGCAGATGGTGTCTGATTGCTAGGCTAAAATTATATATTGACATTCATTAAGAAAAGATATAGTATCAACATAAAGAAAATTTTCAGACAAATTTTTGAATTTAGAAATATTATACAATGAAGGTAGTTATTGAAAAATTGTAATTATAATGCATCTACTTAAAACCAGATTAATATTAAATTAGCAGCCTGAGATTATTTTTTTACAATGATGCTCACCCTGTACAAGGCACGAGTGTCACTCAAGGTAGAGGGTTACAGAAGGTTATAATGCCATCAAGACACAGGGGGCCAACCAAAAGTGAAAGAGAAGGAAAAGACTTTAGAGAGAACTGGAAACTCAATCCTAAACAAGAAAGAAAGGATAAACTTTTCCCCTCCTGTTCAAAAGACCAGGGAGGAGTGGGAACAGGACAATAAGCAAACCTATCTACTCCTATTGAGGTAAATAAATAGTAAAAGTTCAGAGTTTTAGGTGGGGACATTAGAAATATTCTATACTTCTAATGTCCCCAATATAATATTTTTGAAAATCGACTTTAGAAGGAACTGGAAATCCAATCCTAAACAAAATACAAGAGATAAAACTAAGACCAAAAAAGACCAGAGAGGTGTTTGAAATAAAATTCAAATTAGTATTGTGGTATTTTGTACATAGTTTCTCTAAAACTTGAAAAAAAAAAAAAAAAAAAAATAAAATAATAATAATACATAAAGTATTGCTGCCATATCTGGGTTGGAGCCGCTCAATCATCACTTTTCAGCTTTCATTGGAGAAGTTTGCAATTTCTCAACTATTGCAAAGTCTGCAGCTAAACCAATTCAGCAAAAGCAGACACCACTTTGATATTCAATGTTTGAACACTACTTAGCATATTGAAATTTGAAATGCTAGCTTGATTTGTGTCTGTGGTAAAAATATAGAAATGTTTTATCTACACATGGAATCCAGAATCATTTACATTGTCTTGTAGAGAAAGACTTATCCACTCCACGGGCTCTTTCTAACATTACCGAAGTTAAGCAACATCAAGCTTGGTCAGTACTTAGATGGGTAACTGCTTTGAAATATCAGGTGCTGTAAGTTTGAACGTGTGGGTGGTGTAATGGAAAACAGCTTGGAATTGTAAATCAGAGTCAAATTCCAATTCCAGTCTGGTTTGTTATATTCACTTACACACAAATAACCCAGAGAAAGTTATGAATCCATATATTCATGCCCAGCCATGAGTTAATTAGTAGGACTTATCAGTAAATCATTATCTCCAAAAACAAATAACCTGCCAAAGTTGATAAGCTGTAAAAAACAAACCAATCTTTCTCGGACACAACATTGCAAGCCACTTGCTACTATCACTATTTCCATAGCAAATGTTCAGATGAGCTATACTCTTTAGTTCTACCAGTTCAAACCTTTACAGTTAAGAATTGTGATTCTATATTCACAGTGTCAGATCACCCACATCTACTCCATATTCCAAGTGTAAGTATTAACTTTCACTCAGATTCCCCCTCCAAGAACTGCTACTTTGTGGAAGAGACACCCATATCTACACTTCCCAGGATTCTACAATCAAGTAAAGGGTCACTCATTATCTATCCTTATGTTCCCTTTCTTCTTCCACCTTTTACATATGCCTTATTCAATAACCCTCTAATTTGACTGGCTTTTGAGCCTTGGATTAGATGAACATCAAAAGGAAAAAATACATAAGGTTACTTTTCTATGCCACTAGAAATTAATCTGAAATGATACAGTCTCATGAACAAAAATTGTTTTGCTTTCAATTTAATGACATTCAAAGTTTAAGAACTGTGGATAATGAAGGCTAGCAAAAATAAAAATTAGATCAGCAGACCCAGCATAGTAAATGAAAACAGAAGATTAGTGTATTTATCTCTTGAAAATACAGGCTAAGTAAGAATGTCCTTTGTTATCAGAACCAGTCAATATAACCAGTAACTCAAAGAGCTAAAGTTTAATGTGTTTCAACAAGTGTTGTGCCAAAATTTAAAGGCAAGCAAAAAAAAAATTGCCAAGAAAGGATAAAAAAATTTCTTCACCCTAAGGTCTTGTGTTCATAAGAAAATTGTATTCTGCTTTTAAAGCAACAATCTTTCACTAGATTTTCTATGGCTTATCAACCCTTTGCAGGTCATTTAAAGCTAAAAAATATTTTTAGATTGTAAAAATTGGGGGGTGGGGAGAATATAATGGTTTAGTGATACAATTTTTACTAATTAACCCATAGCTGGATAGAAGAGATGAAT